GCAAATTAATGACAATGCTTATAAGATCGAGCTGCCGAGTGAGTACAATGTGTCCGAGACTTTTAATGTACCGGATTTATCACCTTATCATGCAAATGAGGAAGAACCTGAGGCGAATGATATCAATGAAGATGAAGCTGAAGTAGATTCGAGGGCGAATCTTTTTCCTAGCAGGGGAGGATGATGCACTTAGATTGGTGAACTTGGAATGGGCTGAAATTTGATCGGCTGTGTGGAAATGGGCCGCTGGTCAATACTCACCGCTTTGCTGTGATCGACGTCATTTTTTTGCGTTTCGGAATCGTTTAGATGGGTTTTCAAGCTTTTGGGTTTTAGGCAGTTTTTGTTATTTTAATGTATTTTAATGGCGTTTTCGTAATTTTCATGTTTCCTATTGTAATTAGGTTTAACAGCATATAAAAGGGTGTTTAGGGTTTCGTTTTATGGAGAATTTTGGATTTTGGATTTTTTTTATAATCACACCTGAGAGGACGAATTGTTCCTCTATCAAATATTCCTGTTTAGTCAATTTTCTATCGTGATTCGGCATAAGTTATCCTAGTGAGAAGGGGTTTTCATGACGGAGGCTCGGCGCCGAAGATTCCTGTCACCATGGCTTTTGGCAATGAAATATACTGATAGTTGGCAACACTGTTGTAGGCCAGATTTTTTCTAGTGGCACCCACCATAAAATGAAACTAATCTCGTGATCAGACCATTTACCCCAAATTTTAGCTCACGTCTTTCCCCATCACTCGATCCAAACGGTACCTCGTAGACCTGAGGCTAATATATATCAACTTTAAATTGGTTTTCGGGCTATTTTTAGCAATGTAATATGCACAGAATATTAATTTCTCGTAATCATTAGGAAGCTTTACCAGCTTTTATATGTTCTAGAAGGAGAGGGCAAAATAAAATAAAAACGGAGATTGGTTGGCAATATAGAGAATGGTAGTTATTCACGTGTTTGAATTAAATACGTCACATTCCGCATCGTCTCTTTCTGTCGATGATACAAACAAGATCCCGCCATTCCGTACGTCAATCTTTTCGGGTCTTCCTTGCCGTGAAGCAGAACTATCCAATTCAATTTTCTTGGTGTGTAAGCTTCAACCAAATTGTATAGGGCCACCTCTTGCGAAAAGTTGTGGAAGGAAGAAAACCATTATAAAAGGAAAGAGAAAAACTCCAAGGCTACTCAGTAGGATCCGATTGAAATTGGGTACATAAGGACTTGACGTGACGGAAACCGTCGATGTTTTTATACTTTTTACACAAACAGTCGTAAAAGAAAGCTCTCGCGTATTAATAGAATGAAAGCAGTTTGTCAAAATTAGCAATTCTATAAGTGTCATGCCCAAACTCCGCTCGCATAACGAATTTTTTATACCATCAGTGTACCACATAAAAGTTGATTTTTTGTGACCGACCGACGCGCTACCCCTACCTCCAATTGACGCCGGGATTGGACCAACCAGTTCCAACTAGGGATTGACACCGCCAACTGCCCGATTGGTTTCGATTCGATTCTAATATCTACATGATAGGTTTCAGATTTCAAAAACCGAAAATCGATCATGACAACTTAGAACCTACCCATTCTCGAACCACTCACCACTTACAAATTCCAGGTTTGGAACCTACCCACCCTGAAATATGGAACCTACCTATTGTGGAACCACTCACCCCGAAGTTGCACACCTTTCATACTTGTCTGGCGTAAGTTCTTGCATTTTGGGGATGAAGCTTATTTGTCCTACAATATCGAGACTCACAATCGCTTCCCTAGCTAAATGATGTGTTCCGTAGCTTTTGGTGGCGTTCCAATCTATCTCCAACTTGCTTAATGTCGATACATTGGGCAAACTTTTTAGGGACATGGATTGTTTGATCTCCACCTCCTTCAAATAATTCAATTCTTTCAACCGTCAACGGCTCTCAACACTCCATAATAATGTAGATGAAGATGCCTTAGTATTTTCATCTTTTATGTATAGTTACTTTTATGGATAAAATTTTTGTTGTTGCTTTTACTTTCATTTTGCTCAACTGAGGGATGAATTGGACACTTCCCAATTATTTTATATTTTCTGTTTGTTTTGTATTGTTCTTGTCATTTTGTTGTACTTGCTTTGTCTCAGTTTTATATAATGAGGTGTTTTAGCGAATTTTTTCCTTTTAATAAATTAAAAAATGGAAAAAAAAGAAATTAGCCGGCTTATGGGGAGACCCTGGAGCAGGATCGAACCCTGTAGGTTCTCAGGTTTACAAGGCATGCTCCAGGGTCACCCCCCCCCCCCCCTCTCTCTCTCTCTCTCTCTCTCTCTCTCTCTCTCTCTCTCTCTCTCTCTCTCTCTCTCTGTGTGCCAAGCTCAAACTTGGGATTGTGGTGTTGAACTCGACGCCGTGGTGAAACATGACCCTAGATGTAGTGTCGAGCTCTAAGCCACGTGAGCACAACCCTAATCCCGACATAGAGCTCCATGCCGTGGTGAAACATGACCCTAATATTTTTTGGACCATAATAAAATAAATAATAAATAATTATAAATTATTGTCGGGTCCATTCCTTCAAAATTTTATGATTTATAATATGATGTTACTCTCACAATGGCACAAACACTATTGTGCTATCAAAGCCTTTTTCAAAACGTAGGGAATAGGGAAATCAAATACAACCCATGCAAATAGGGTTAATTCCAAAAAAAAGCACAAACTTTAAGTCTATGGACAATTCTAGCCCGAACTTTTTTTTGTCCCATAAAAAAGCACCAACTTTAGGTCAAGGGACAATTTTGGCCCAAACTTTTTTTTGTCCTGTAAAAAAGCACCAACTTTAGGTCGAGAGACAATTCTGGCCCCAACTTTTTTTTGTCTCGTAAAAAAGCACTAACTTTAACTTAAATCCCAAATCTGGCTCTCATTGACTTAGAACCATTGATTATCTAACTTGACTATTCCACATTAGCAATAAATCCACGTGGCTTGTTGACTGGATTTAAAGCAATATTTATTGTCTTATTCTCTAAACCACAATTTGAAGAATAACGGTAAAACTGTTCGTCTCCTTCACTTCACTGACAAGTCAAAAATATCTCCAGATTGAATCTCTCTAGCCAAACGTAATCTGAAGTTGACCACCGCATGTTGACAGATGCCATGGACGAGATTCACCAAGCTCACCACCATAACCTTCTTTCTCAAATAATGGTGAAAGTCAACAAGGGCCAGATTTGGGATCACGATGAAAGTTGATGATTTTAATAAGACAAAAAAAAAAATTGGGGCCATAATTGTCACTCAACATAAAATTGGTGCTTTTTTACCGGACAAAAAAAAGTTCGGGCCAGAATTGTCCCTCGATCTAAAGTTGGTGCTTTTTTATGGGACAAAAAAAAGTTCGGGCCAAAATTGTCTTTCGACCTAAAGTTGGTGCTTTTTTATGTGACAAAAAAAAGTTCGAGGCAAAATTGTTCCTTGACCTAAAGATGGTACTTTTTTTTAGAATTAGGCCCATGCAAATATAGGCCTCTCTGTCTCTCTGCCCCTGCCATCACGATGCAAACGCCACACCTTTGTCACCACTCGATTCTGGCCTTGTCATTCCACGCCTCTCTCTCTCTCTCTCTCTCTCTCTCTCTCTCTCTCTCTCTCTCTCTCTATCCCTCCGTCGATCGGGAGGAGGTAGGTGGCCGGGATCGCAATTCATGGCCGGTGATGCAATCGACTTTATCCGGCGAGACGTCTTTTAACTGTTTTGGATCATAATAAAATAAATAATTATAAATTATTATGGGGTCCATTTCTTCAAAATTTTATGATTTTATAATATGCCGTTACTCTCATAGTGGCACAAATATTATTGTGCTATTAAAGCCCTTTTCAAAACTTAGGGAATAGGAAAATCAAATACTACCCCCGAAAATATAGGCCTCTCTGTCTCTCTGCCTCTACCATCACGACACAAACGCCACACCTTTGTCACCACTCGATTCTGGCCTTGTCATTCCACGCCTCTCTCTCTCTCTCTCTCTCTCTCTCTCTCTCTCTCTCTCCGTCGGTTGGGATAAGGTAGGTCGCCGGGGATCGCGATGCATGGCCGGTGATGCAGTCAACTTTATCCGGCGAGTCGTCCTTTAACTGTTTTAACCGCCGTGCAAAGTACACATAATAAATGCACACGAATGAAACCCATAGAAACCATTACTTGCTGATGACGTCTACAATGAGGAAACCTCTTTCGAGATTTCTTAGTCCCGATCCATGCCTTGCGTAGGCTTCGCAGAAATATCCCAGGTCGTGCAACTGTCACTTTTGACAAAGTCAAAAGAAAGATTGATTTTCTCAACTCACAAGGTCGGGACGAAGTTTCTAAATGAAAACGATTTTGTTTGGAAAAAATATATTAATGTATTTTTAACAGGAAAAAATCTTGAAATTTTTTCCTTGCACGATCAATTTTAAAAGTACAATACTCGTATCCATCTTCATGTAATGTAAAAGGAACTATTCGCATGTGAGTTTATTTATGGTATTGGGCATAAGATATATTTAACTCGGATCCCATATCGTGTACTTATAATATGTTGTGCTATTTAATAAGTCTTGTTCCAATTATTCCGATGAAATTTATAATTGCAGCACTGGATCGTGATCAAATGAAATCATATCGTGCTAATAATAGAGTTAGGTTCGAAGTCGAGAGGCATAAATACATCTCTAACAGCATAAAAGTCAGGAAGCACTTTTGCTTTTTGGGTCAACGTCTAGAAATAGTACATTGAAAGCGAGCAAATTCCAAGTTATACTCTGCAAATAGTAAACGTGAAGAACGCTCATTCATTACGTTTTTGGAGATAGAATAATTGGAACCTTGACTATCAACAAATACGGTGGAAACATTTGCCTCCGAATGTGTGAACATGAGAAAACATTTGGTACAACTTAAAATCAAAATAGAATCATAAGGTTATAAATATCCCACCCACTCATTTCAACCGCTGCCGGCACACGAAATCCTGAAACCCCACGAAAGATCTCAGAACCCAACCACCACTCGTACACCATGATCTCCTCCTCCTTCTCAACCATGTCGTGCTTTGATCTCTTTTCTTCACTTTCTCACTTCATCCTCTTCCCATCACTCTTCATCGTTATCAGCGTCGTCTTCTTCTTCTTCAAATCGCCGCCGCCGTCCTCGAAGAACCTCCCGAGAGTCTACCCTATCTTCGGCTCCTACTTCTCGTTTTTTGCCAACATCAAACGGCGGATCGACTGGACCGCCGACCTGGTCCGGAACTCCCCGTCGGCGACCTACGTCTTCCACCGCCCCCTCGGCCACCGCCAGGTCTTCACCGGCAATCCTGCGAACGTCCAGCACATCCTCAAGACCCACTTCGCCAACTACGATAAGGGCGGGGTCTTCAAGACGACCCTCCGGGACGTCCTCGGCGATGGAATCTTCAATAGCGATGGAGAGTCCTGGAAGATCCAGAGGCAGGTCTCCAGCCACGAGTTCAACACCCGGTCGCTGCGGAAGTTCGTCGAGACCGTCGTCGATGCGGAGGTGAACGAGCGGCTCGTGCCTCTCTTGGCGTCCGCCGCCAAGAGCAGGTCAGTGATAGACATGCAGGACATCCTCCAGAGGTTCGCCTTCGACAACATATGCAAGATCGCGTTCGGGTTTGATGCCAAGTATCTGTCGCCATCGCTTCCTCAGCCGAGAGTAAGTACTGTCCTGACTCATTTTACTAAATTACAGATATAGAAGATGTGTAGCTTAGGGTGAGCCTTGCCAAACAACACAAATTTCTGTCAATCCCATCACTCATAGAGCGAGTTATTCGACATTCGACAGGCGAAGTTCGCAGAAGCGTTTGAAGACGCAGTGAGAATAAGCAGCGAGAGGTTTCAAGTGTTATTCTCTGTAACTTGGAGGATCAAGCGTTTCTTCAACGTAGGATCCGAGAAGCACCTCCGGGTCGCAATCTCTGAAGTCCGTGAGTTTGCGAAGAAAATTGTGAGGGAAAAGAAGAGAGAGCTGAGCGAGAAGGCGTCGCCGGAGTCAGCCGCCGACGACCTTCTGTCGCGGTTCTTGAGCTCAGGTCACTCCGATGAGGACTTTGTCATCGACATCGTCATCAGCTTCATACTTGCCGGCCGGGACACCACATCGGCGGCTCTCACGTGGTACTTCTGGCTGCTCCACAAGAACCCGGAGGTGGAGGCCAAAGTCCGGGGTGAGATCATGGAGAAGTCCGATGCACATGCCGCAGGGTACGATGATGTGAAGGAGATGGTGTACACGCACGCATCACTGTGTGAGAGCATGCGGTTTTACCCGCCCGTGCCGCTTGACTCAAAGGACGCGGTGAACGACGACGTCTTGGAGGACGGCACGGTGGTGAAGAAGGGGACGACGGTGACGTATCATCCGTACGCGATGGGGAGGCTGGAGCAGCTGTGGGGAAAGGACTGGCCGGAGTTCAGGCCGGAGCGGTGGCTTAGGGCGGCAGAGGACGGCGGTGAGAAGTGGGTGTTCGTTAATAGGGACGCGTTCTCGTACCCGGTCTTCCAGGCGGGGCCGAGGGTCTGTCTGGGGAAAGAAATGGCGTTCCTGCAGATGAAGAGGGTGGTGGCCGAGGTGCTGCGGCGGTTCAGGGTGTTGCCCGCGGCGGAGGAAGGGGAGGAGCCGTTGTTCATTTCGTACCTGAGCTCGAAGATGAAGGGTGGGTTCCCGGTGAGGATTGAGGAGAGAGAGTGAAAGGGATAGTCAACCCTTGGAAACTATTTTCTCTTTAATTTTCCTTTAATCAAGATTCCATATGAGTTTGGAAGCGTACGTAATTTTCCATTTTTTTTTGGGAGGTAGGCCGGGGAATAAGGTGTGTAATAAATTTTCCTTTATTATCTTTGTATTTATTTTCATATGTATAAAGTATTCTGATATCAATATCGATAGATGATCCGCTCGTGCAAGTAATGTACATACTATTGTTTTGACCTTTAACAATGTTCTATACTGTGAATGTAAGATACGGCGTGATTGCATTGGATATTTAAAACAATTTCACCACGTGATGGTTCAAACTTGTCTATCAAAATTACAATACATATCGTGCATCCGTTATTCAGCATATTAATCTTATAATATGGCATCGTGGTAATTATCTTCTTTTATGTAATGAATCCGTAATGATTTGACCCATTCTACATTAATCGGATGCCAAAAGGAATAATCAAAGTAATCATGCAAGATTGTGAATTTTTTTATACGTAACGAACCGAATATTCATCCCCACAAAAAAAGAGAGGATAAAACTAAGTAGAAGGAAAACTAAGAATACTGCGTGTAGGGATGAGATAGGGTAGATTTGAGATCGTGCTTTTGTCTTGTGCAAACATGAATGGGGGGTGCCTCTTCTTGGCTATACAAATTAGAGCAATGTTAAACATATCAAATTTTATGTAGGAAACAAAATTTAGTGTGCTTTTATAAGTATACATAGCATTTTTTTTTACCAATTAATTCAACACAAACTCTATGTCCTCTAATAATCCTAGATACATTAAGGGTCCGTTTGTTTGACTCTTGGGTACTTTGACCAACTCCCTTATCTTATTCCGAGCGAGTGATTCCATCTTTTCGGTCATGGTCGCTAACCACTACGACGACTCAGCACTAGCCATAGCTTTAGAATAAGACAAAGGCTCATCTATCTCACCTCATCACCTATAGTTAATGCATACAAAATATTAGAATAACCATAACGTACTAGTGGTTTGATTTGCCTTATATGTTAGTTTGTGGCTATGTAATGTTGCAGCTATGCTATTTGTTTATTATTACCAATTTTAGGAATTGTGGCTTTATCTAAGGTCTCAACCTTTATTACCTTTGAGGCCTCCATAAGCTCCACCTTACTATTAGCACTATGATCCATTTGCTCTGTGTCTCGGGACTCATCTATCAAAGCATAGTAATCTCATCAAAGATCACGTCTCTACTGATTAGAAAATCGGGTGATTTAGGATTAGTACATCGTGATTAGCAACCTTTCACCCCACGTGCATAATCTAAAAATATGCACATTTTCTCCCTTGGCTCAAGCTTATCATCACTCGCATGAGTATACGCTGGACATCCAATCTTCGTAATCTGAACTTCATGCCTTCTTGCTGACATAACTTGGTCAAATCTTTACCATAGAACTTCATGCCGTTATCGATTTTTCGGCAATTGATCTATTTACCTGACCGCTTCTTAATTAGTGACTTAATCTTATCATCACTCGCATGGGCAACAGGCTTTGTCGATCGATTCAAGATGAATATGTCGATTATGCGGAAAAAGTCGTCGATTCAATGGACAAGTTGTCGATTTCATGATTGCCGATCGGCTATCGAGATATCAATATACAAGTTTATTGTCAATTTCAAGACTCCCTACCGATAACCCTATGAATGGAGGTTGTTCTTATCAATTTCTACCGTTGTTTGGTGATATGCTACAATGACTATTCGGATTCCAAGGATGTTGCACGAATTTGGAAGAGTCAAAGGTATAGTTTCTATGTCTTTAAATGCAATTCTAGTTTATAGGTGTTTTAATGGATTTCTATTTTCTAGGACATTATTGCTATAGGCTCTAATGACATACTGAGCATCGTCATGACGTGCATACGATATTTATCACCGTCAAAAGCCGACGGTGATGAAATTTAATCCGTCATTGTGGGGTACTCTACGACGAGGAAATAATGTTCATCTCCATAGAATACTTACGGCCACGGAACATGTTTGTCACCACGGACTACCTATGGCAACGAACTCTCATTCTGTCGAAATTTGGGTGTCTACGGAGACAAAAAAAAATAAGAATTTTGTCACAATTGCTAGAAGCTATGGCCACAGAATGTCAAATTTGTGTGGCGTTAGCCTAGCAAGAAGGGGCTTTTGCGATGGAGGCTCGGCGACGAAGATTCCCGTCACCCTGGCTTTTGGCGATGAAATATACTGATCGACGGTGACATTGCTGCAGGCCAGATTTTTTCTAGTGGCACCCACCATCAAATGAAACTAATCTCATGATCAGACCATTTATCCCAAATTTTAGCTCATGTCTTTCCCGATCACTCAATCCAAACGGTACCTCGTAGACATGAGGCTAATATATATCAACTTAAAATTGGTTTTCGGGTTATTTTTAGCAATGTAATATGCACTAAATATTAATTTCTCGTAATCATTAGGAAGCTTTACCAGCTTTTATATGTTCTAGAAGGAGAGGTCAAAATAAATAAAAACGGAGATTGGTTGGCAATATAGAGAATGGTAGTTATTCACGCGTTTGAATTAAATACGTCACATTCCACATCGTCTCTTTCTGACGATGATATGAACAAGATCCCGTCATTCCGTACGTCAATCTTTTCGGGTCTTCCTTGCCGTGAAGCCGAACTATCCAATTCAATTTCGTTGGTGTGTAAGCTTCGATCAAATTGTATAGGGCCGCCTCTTGCGAAAAGTTATGGAAGGAAGAAAATCATTAGAAAAGGAAAGAGAAAACTCCAAGGCTTCTCAGTAGGATCCGTTTGAAATTGGGTACATAAGGAATTTACGTGACGGAAACCGTCGGTGTCTTTATAATTGTTACACAAGCAGATGTAAAAGAAAGCTCCCGCATATTAATAGAATGAATGCGGTTGTCAAAATTAGAAATTCCATGTGTCATGCCCAAACTCCACTCGCGTAACGAATTTTTTATACTATCAATGTACCACATAAAAGTTGATATTGTGTGACAGACCGATGCGCTACCCCCACCTCCAATTGACGCCGGGATCGGACCAACCGGTTCCAACTACGGATCCGCGCCGCCAACTACACGGTTGGTTTCGATTCGGTTTCAAGATCTACATAATAGATTTCAGATTCCAAAAACTGAAATTCGGTCCTAACAGCTTGGAACCTACCCATTCCAAAACCGCTCACCCCTTCCAAATTTTAAGTTTGGAACTTACCCCTTCCAAATTTCAAGTTTGGAACTTACCCATCCTGAAACATGGAACCTACTTATTGTGGAACTACTCACCCCGAAGTTGCACACCTTTCATACTCATCCAGCATGAGTTCTTGCATTATCGGGATGAAGCTTATTCGAGACTCACAATCGCTTCCTCGGCAAATGATGTGTTCTGCAGCTTCTGGTGGCGTCCCTCTATCTCCAACTTGGTCAATGCCGACACATCAGGCAAAATTTTCAAGGACATGGATTGTTTGATCTCCACCTCCTTCAAATAATTCAATTCTTTCAACCGTCGGTGGCTTTCAACACTCCATAATAACGTAGATAAAGATGTCTTAGTATTTCATCTTTTGTGGATAGTTACTTTTATGGATAAAGTTTTTTGTTATGGCTTTAACTTTCATTTTGCTCGACTAAGGGATGAATTGGACACTTCTCAATTATTTTATTTTATATTTTCTATTTGTTTTGTATTGTTCTTGTCATTTTGTTGTAACTTCTTTGTCTCGGTTTTAAATAATGAGATGTTATACTAAAATTTGTCCTTTTAATGAATAAAAAATAAAAATAAAAAAAACAGAAATTGGTCAATTCCCGGGGAGACCCTGGAACAGGATTGAATCAACAGGGTCGGTTTCAAGGTAGGTTCTTAGGTTTACAGGACAGGTTCTAGGTTATACAAACTGGGAACCGGTCCAACAAAATAGGTTTTAAGTTCCAGGTTTAGAACCTATCCACCGTGAAACTGCTAACCCCTATCACCAACGTTGTGGTCCACAAGTCAACATGACCAACGTTGTGGTCCACAAGTCAACATGCATCTCTCTCTCTCTTTCTCTCTCTCTCTCTCTCTCTCTCTCTCTCTCTCTCTCTCTCTCTCTATGCCAAGCTCAAGCTCAAACTTGGGAATTGCAATGTTGAATTGGACGCCGTGGCGAAACATGACCCTAGATGTAGTGTCGAGCTTTAAGCCACGATGAGCATGACCCTGATCCTAACATAGAGCTTGATGCCGTGGCGAGCACAACCTAGATCAAACGACGAGCTTGGCAAGATTGCGACAGAGAACAGTGGGTGAGGGATGGGGGAGACGAGCATGGTGGTCGTAGGCGACACCGGCAGAGAGGGGGCCGAGGCATGAGTTATGGGTTGGGTGAGGGATTGGGTTATGTGTGTTTTCTAATTTGTAAATTTGGAATGTCTGAAGGGGTAAAGTTCGAAGGAAAATGATATGCTTGTAATCAAGTTAAAATTGTTAGATGGAGCTCAAAACGGAATCTCTAAAATGACATGAATTCTTCTAAGGAGGACCGTCTGGTGCAAGTGAACAAACTATATCAAGTTTTTAGGCGACGGTCCTTAATCTATTATTAGATTAACAGTACATTCTGGACCATAATAAAATAAATAACAAATAATTAAAAATTATTATGGGGTCCAATCTTTCAAAATTTTATAATTCACAATATGCTTTTACTTTCACAATGGTCCAAATACTGTTGTGTTATTAAAACCCTTTTCAAAACATAGGGAATAGCAAAGTCAAATACTACCCCCGAAAATACATGCGTCTCTTTCTCTCTACCCCTACAATCATAACGCCATTGCTGCACCTCTATCGCCACTCGATTCTGGCCGTGTCGTTCCACGCCTCTCTATCTCTATATCCTTCCGTCAGTCGAGATCGAGGTAGGTCGCTGGTGATCGCGATTCATGGCCGGTGATGCGGTCGACTTTATCCGGCGAGGCGTCTTTGAACTGGTTCCAACTGCCATTCAAAGTACGCACAACAAATGCATACGAATTGAACCCATGGAAACCAGCACTTGCTGATGACTTCTACAATGAGGAAATCGAGATTCCTTAGTCCCATGCTTGCCCAAAAACGCAGGACTTTTGCGTAGGCTTCGCAGAGAAGCAGAAACATCCGAGGTCGCGACACGGTCACTGTTGTCAAAGTCAAAAGAAAGATCGATTTTCTCAACTCAGAAGGTCGGGATGAAGTTTCTAAATGAAAAAAGATTTTGTTTGGAAAATATATATTAATGCCTTTTTTAATAGGAAAAAATCGTGAAATTTTTTCTTTGCACCATCAATTTTGAAAGTACAATACACATATCCACCTTCACGTAATATAAAAAGAACTGTTCAC